GTTTTTTTTTGTAATAAATAATAAATTATTGCTTCCGGCACTAGTATTCTTGAAATAAACACAGTCGATGGCGATTATGAAAGTTTGCCAAATTTTGCCCCAGCGAGTATTATCTCTGGTGGCTGTGATTGGCTTCTTTTACAAGAGGGATATCAAAACTGATCCATTTCCTTACCCATTACTTCCAATAAATTTCATTTTACCAATCGCAAGCCTTGTTTCTTTGTGGCAATTTGTTCAAAGTTCATGTTTTAGCAGCACAGTACATTTCAGAATTGTGATTTCATGTTAAATGCAAACCCGTCTCCCGGGCAACGTGGTAACTTAAACCTTGTCAAAAGTAAGAAAATTGACTATTTCGTTTTCAAAAGGGAACAAACAACAATTGGTTTTGCCACCCTCAGATCTACATAGATTAAAACCATACAGCCACCGGCCGGGCGCGTCAAATCTTGATAAGGATCGCATTTAAGGGTTTTTCTCGCTCTGTATGGACTTAAAGCCGGGTGTTACGGTGACAAATACTCCCTTACACCCAGATAAAAATGCTTTACAAAATCTCCATGATATCGCTTTTATGGGTTTTTCTCGCTCTGCATGGATTCAAGGCCGGGTGTTACGGTGATAAATAGTGTCTTACACCCAGATGAAAAGTGTTTTACAAAATCTCCATGATATCGCTCTTATGGGTTTTTCTCGCGCGTTTTCGCTCTGTTACGTATGGATTCAAGGCCGGTTGTTACGGTGATAAATAATCCCTTAAACCCAGATGAAAATGCTTTACAAAATCTCCATGATATCGCGATTATGGCATGGAAAAGTCTATTCAGTGTTTTTAGAAATACTTTGGTCAACAAATTATGTTAGCGCGATACATGTACGACTTCGATTCATTACATCGAGGATTGCGTTGTTCAAGGCAATAAATTAAATGAGAGAAGATGTTTTATTGAAAGAAAAAACAGATAAGGTAGAGCCAATGTAAAAGACAAAATAAACACTGTGCATAAAAATATTAAAGACAAAATTAAACTATAGATCAGTTGTTTGTCTAAAACTTAATATGTATCCTTGTTGTTTCCCCGGATACCTTGATTTTTTAACCTGAACATAATATAACAGTATAAAAATTATATTCGTAGATACACAAGCTGGTTAAGATAGTTTTGATCGAAGAAAAGGCCACGAATCCACCCATGACAGAAAAAGAAACCCGATAGTGATGGACGTTTATTAAAAGCTTAATATTCAAATATTAAACTTAAATAAACAAGTTTGACACGATGCGTTTTAACTCTGAAGTATACACATGCATTGTGAGTGGTTTTCTTTACACAAGTTGTCGCTTTCTTGCAATCTATTTTCTTCACCTAAGTTAGCTTAGTACTTCAGCTGGTTAGGGGATTTCGTACTCTCTCATTACGAGCCGCTTGTAAGGGTGTCATTGTAACTACCAGTGCAATAATCTAACACATAAACCACCTCAACGTGCACGTAATACATTAACTACCTTACAAGAGTCTCAGTTAAGGCTCAAAAATTATATTTCATGCATGAAAAATTTAATAGTTTAGAACAACTCTTCGCATCACCCAAAAATCAGTACTTGAAACTCTGGCGTGTTCCAACCACCGACTTGAAAAATTAGACCGTACTGCTTAGCTATAGCATAATACACAACACCACACCGCGAAAGTACTGCTCGAGAGATTTCACGGAATGACCAAACACTGGGTTCCCATTCTTGGACTTAAGAAGCACCTTATATATTTCTCAACAGAATAAGCAGTACCGCATGAAAGTACTCAGTAGCTTTCATTTGAATGGCCACATTTTTCGGTCCCCGCTGACGAAAATGCACCTACCGTACAAATATTTTCTTGCCTGCATCGGTCTTGACTGGTTCAATTAGTTTCCACGATTCTCTAAGAATATTTTTTCTTTTGTCTGAAAGCGGAATATCCCTGATTCTCAAATTTGAAGTTGGCGGAGCTGAAAATACTACTTCGATTCTGTGGTTAAGCGAGGAGGAACAACCCATTATAAAAAGAACGACTGTAAAAGCGTCAGTGAATTTGTATCGAGAACTAGGAATAAATTGACCTTAAAAGTATTAATTTGCATCACTGACTACCCTGTCACTCGTCCCATTAACTAGTCAAAAATAATATTTAAAAAAAATAGTCGGTGCCGGGAAGCATCTTTGTGGTTCCGTCAAGCGTCGAAATGTCCGTTCTGTTTACTTTTCTGTGACAGGATTGCTTAGCTTTATAAACGAGTGACCTCTAAATACCATTTTCGTACACAGTCAAATATTTCCCTTGAAATATATCTGTCTGATCTGCGTCCCTTCATTACAATAAATAAGGAAATTTTAGAAATTTAATAATTAATGGTGATTAGCAAACTGCTAAATGTTGAATGTGATATTTTCGGTTTAAAAATAAATTTTGCACCTACTAGTTAAGTCAATTTACATGCAGTCAGAAAGTACAGCTGTTATTTGATATTATGACAGTGTGAAAGAAATTAATTCTACAATTCTAACAATTCCACAATT